TGTATGTGTGTGTGTGTGTGTATTTCACATGTTGTCTTGGTGCAACATCTCGCGCTGCAAGCTCACTTCTTTCCCGCTTTGCTCCTTTTGTTCCGTGTATTCGTCATTTCCTTTACGTGGTTCTGCGCTGAGTCACCAGCTTTGAAGACTTCAGCCTACCGAAATTCTGAGGACCAGCTACATTTGTGCCCTTGTTTTCTGGTCATTGCCAGAGACCGATTTTCCCAACCCGACCTAATTGATACAACAATTCGCAATGTATCACGAACTTTATGGAATGAATGGAATTGTATGGAGCGCATGCATTTCAACAGAAGTCTCGAGCCTAGGTAAGCCATGCAGTATCTTTAACGCTAAGTATATGTAAAAGAAAGGTGAAATATACTCACTTTTGAGGTGACCAGCGTCAGAGTTGGTGAGGAACCCTAGAAAAAGAAATGGGATAGACATTAGTTGGAAATAAAGAATGTTATGTTGAAATAAATTTTTGTGATTAAATTGAAGGATGTCTAAAATTAAAAAATGTAAAAAATTAATTTACGAGCCAAACATGATTTTAAATAAAGTGCTTTCCCTTAAACACCACAGGGATACCATCGAGAAAGCATTATATCCTGTTCGTTTCGCAAAAAGTGTTCAGATGCAATTAATTTATATAAAGAGGACATAAACACAATGTCAAGAGACAATGTACTTCGGTATAATAGCATATGTGCGTAATCTGAGCAGCTATGTCGTTGTGTAAGAGAAACTATGCTGCGGCATGCACTCACGTTCAGGTGGGGCATTGCACACACGTGCAATTTCAAAAACCATTCGGTTATCCAGTCAAACACTTGCTAAAACGTGTGCCGAACAAAAAGTGGTGAAAATCTAATCCCATTTCCATTTCCTAGAATCAAACAAGGACGCATTTATCTTGAGCGTGAAATCACGTACCAGAATCTATATGTTTAGAAATGTAGTGCAATTATGGGGACCGGCTATTCAAGGAACGTTCAAGCACCTGCATCAAATAGATTCATTTTTGGAGAAGAGAAACAATTGTAAATCCTTTTGGTTTCTGGGAATATAACAAGTCATTCGAACTGTTGCCGTTTTCAATATGTATATGTATATTTTAATACTCTGTCATCAAAATATACGATATACATATGCCTAAGCACAGTGCAATGAACTCTGCAAGCGACCGAAATTTCTATTTAAATTTGAGTATTTATTAACTAAAGCGAAAGATATACAGAATATAAGTTACACAACTACAACTAAACAAAATTCTTAGCGGCGATTTCGACAAAAGCAATCAAATAATACTTAATTTTATACAGAGAACATGTCTCCAAAAGCCATCGTAAAGGCAGCTTCTTCCATCATTTTGGTCACTCTCTGGGCGATTAACATAACATGAACTGGAATACAAAATGGGAATGACCGAAACATTAGGTATCTTGCCGGGACGGGTCGGGTCGGGTCGTGTTGTGTTGTGTTGTGGCCGACCACAGCGTCAGCTGTAAAGGCCAAGCAACTAGCGAAGATTCAACCCAACTTCGAGTCATACATTAATTAATAACTTCTTTGAAACTAGCGAAAAGACATTATTTATCCACGTGTGATTCTATTGTCTTATAGAAGGGTACGATTGGCAGACGGGGGCCGGACCGAGCATCTCAATAGATTTGCACTCTTCGAGTCTTTTGTTTTGGAATTTTGTCAAAAAATGGCTACCAAAAGATACATAACAAATGGATTTTATGTGTGTAGAGTAAAGCTCTAACAGTATTCTCATTTTTGCTTTGTGCAAATAATACTAAAATGCTTAAACTAACAGTTTTACGTTGCTTTCAAAATGAAAAGAATATAATATTTGAATCAAATTGCTCAAAATACTTCTCAAGAATGTGACATTCGCTGATTTCATGTAACCCGAGATGCCACGAAAGTTATTTCGATTTGAAAATTTTTCTCGAATGACCTCATTCAGTTTTACATTCGATATTAATATGCTCTTACCAACTGAATTGTGTATTAATAACTTTAAATCATTTTATTCTTATCTAATCGCCGTTAAAATTGATTAATTTTTCTTCTCCTGTGATAAAAATCATATGTTTTTAAAATTGTGATATACATATATATATTACGAATTGTTCCACATATTTTTTTTACAACTCTACTTATAAGCAACCCAACCACCCCTGAGTATGCGGCTATAGCAATAATAACAGCTTAAAATAGATTCGTCTACACGCCCAATCAGAGAAAACAGGGGACCTAATTAGGGCCCGATGCTAGGTATAAAGTTGTACATTGGCATTGTATTGAAGAAAAAAACTTATACGGGCTGAATGCGCCGCCAACATCCATAAAATGTCGCCGTAATTTTGTGCATCTAAGAGCCCACTTGCCTGTCCCCTTGCCCGATGTATAGAGACTCGATTTTTAGCCTTAAAAGCTAACTATGTATCTGGATTGTATGGAGATATGCAGTACGAGTGAGAGGCCAAGAGGGCTGAGAAAAACCGAGCAGTTGGACGGGAGTGCAGCTGACATAAAACAACTAAAAATAATACAAATACAAAGCGATAAATCTTGTAGGTGAAAGAAAGCCAGAAACGAAGAAGACATGGATATAGTGAAATGCTGATGCAGTATCGGTAACTAATGCAAAGAATGGGAATGGGAATGGGATTGGGAATGCAAAGGAAAATGGGAATGCAACTGGAACTGGAACTGGGGACAGGAACGTTCAAAGTACTTTCCTCTAATATCAGTCACACGCATTACCATGGCCGACGAATCTAAAATCTATTCTTAACGAGTCTGTGAGTGTATCAAAAAGAAAGGGGAGAGAGTCATGGCGACGTTTTTCGAATCGCCTTTGAATAAATTTAGTTACAGATCTCTTCTCTGTTGTATTTCTTTCTTTCTTCTATATTATTATTTTTTTTTTTCTTCAACAACATTAGTCTAGTTGGGCTGCATGTGTATGCCGCATTAGAGAGTATGCATGTGTTAGTGCCAGTGTATGATCATAATACACAGATCCTCCTAGCCGATAGATAGAAAGAAAGCATCTTTTTTATTACAGCGAGTGAGTGGGGGAAAAAGGTATCGTTTTTCATGTAATAATTTTCCGATGCGTCCAGCGGGCATAAAAAATGCGACGCTGTCACTGTCGGCCGCAGCGGCCAACCGCTCGATCAAATTATGTTAATTCGGGCTTAGTGCGAGTATCAAATATATTTATTACATCGACAGAGACAACGACATAACGAACAAGAAGAAACTGGAGAAAAGAGAGCCGCGATCGCCGTATGCAATGGCAAAGACTTAAATTAGGTAAATGTAGGCGGAAGCTTAAAATACGCTAGAAGAGCTCATATGGTCGAGAGGGCTTATGTATATTATATGAATATTTGTATTTACAGCAAGTAAATTGTGGTTGTAACCCTTAGCGGGGGTAGAAAAATGCGACTATTAAATATGCATTCTTAAATTGAGAGCTTTCACACATAATCGATATTCCTATTTATGGGCGAAAGTCTAAGGTCAACTAATTAATTAATTATGAATCTTTTTAAATCATGTACGAAGAAAATTTGGCTTTTCATGAAAAAACATTTTCAGCCTAATATAGAAAATAGAAATATATGCTTTGTCTTCAATAAATATTATTTTCAGTGTACATATATATATATAACAAAATATATGCGTTACTTTTGACCGATTGTATACTTGTTTTTACCAGCATTTATGTGCATGTGAGTGTGTGTACTCTCAGTGATATTGGTATTTATGCATACATACGTGCGTACGTATCTCCTACACACAATAACCAGACCAACTATAAAACTTGTATCAAATCGAACAAAACAAAAATAAAATTTTTATTGCATTCCAGCACTAAAACCTTTCGATCGTGTGATGCTCAGAGCTGGCCACTAGCTCTAAAAAAGAGCCGAATAAACAACAACAACAACAGCCGACAATTTCAACTTGGCTCCGTCGCTGTCCCCAGCCGTTGTCTCAGTGTCTCTCGCTCTCAGTGTGTCGCCATGTGCGACTCGAAATGTGTAGTGTATTGATATTGATTGTCTCCCCGAGCCGAATTGAAACTCTTTGCCATTGCCTAATATTCCATTAACGGGCTTATTAAGGCAGCACGTAGCGCTCAGATCGGCGGCAACAGAAACTGAGACCCACACATACAGGCACACATACACACACACACGCGCGCTTGTAGTTTAATAAAAGGTACTGATGCATAAATGGGTGTTTGTATCTAAATTGATCGAATTTGGGGACACACATGAGAAACCGGGGCGCGCACGAGAGCAGATGAGCGGGACGCTGCGTGCGCTGATCGCGCTGTTCGTTGGTTCAGGTAAAAATTCCCCCGTGGGCTGAAGAAACAAAACTAAATAACAAAAACAAAAAAAAAAAAAACACAACACGAAGAAGTTGAAACTGCGACTTGGACTTGGGCAGTGGTGGCTGCTAAAGCAGGTACAATTTTATAATTTCGTTTCGTGTTTAATTAAAGGTGAAGTTTTAAAGAAATAATAAAGAATTATCGAAGAGCTGGCCAGAGACGGGTACAGATGATGTCCAATACACACACACACACACACACATACACACACGCTTAAAACGAGCATTGATCGTAAAGCGATGAGACGGGCACCCGAAGCGACTCACCCTACTCCTTTCCCTCACTCTCACTCTACGTATACATACACATGCAAAGAAGAAGGGACTATTGGGAGTCAAGCGATCATTATGCCATAAATAAAGATTCGTTCCGTGCATCGGTCAGCTATGGGAAAATGATATAAAGCACTTTTATAGTACACCATCTTCTGAAGCTCTAAAAATTCGGTTGTGCGTGTGCGAGGCCTAGTCTGTGTATGCGGACTGTATTTAGGGTTATGACTTGGGACTATAATTATGCTCAGTTATGATCAAAGTCCAGTTATCGTTGCTTAAGATACAAATAAAGCTTCGAAATTACATTCCAACATTTAATTACGAAATATTATACAAAATCTTGCCTTATTTTTTCCCTTGATTGTTTGATTGCTTTTGACGTTTTCTTTGGTTTTGATAAGCAAAAAGGTTGACTGTTTTAGAAGTCAACAAAACGCCATCAATCATAAAAAAGTAAGTCGAGGGAGCTTGACTAGGTGAGACCCACCTCCTAGGTCTGGATAGCCCATTTGCACATTTTCATTTACCTACATACATCAAACACATTTCCACACGAAAATGGAACTGCGTCAAATATATATCAGCTATGATTGCTGAATAAAACGAATCCTCAGTTGACCAGTTCATCTTTAGTTAGTTTGGCTAAAAATTTCTACCCCTATAGAGAGAAGGCAGAGATAAATTGCTTTTGCTAGCAATATTCTATCTAAATAAAAGACACTGACATAATAACTAAATTCTGTAAGCGATAAATAAAACCATCGCAAAGAAAGCCGAAAATATACTACTAAGCTGGGGAGGTTTTTGAAAAAATAAAACTTAATAAAGTTGACCAAAACATAGTCGGACAGTTTTGCAGGAAAATATATAATTTATCGGATTTGAATAACAGAAAATAGTATTAAAATTTTCTGAAATATATGAAAGAATTTGTCAACTCATTTCATTGCCAAGGCAACCAAAGCCAAAATGTTTGACAGCCTAGATGACAACCGCTTGTCAAAATCTGACAACTCAAACTAATCATTTCAATTGGTGCTGCCGCTGGCGCAGTCGGCGTCAGCGTCGCTGTCGCTGTAGCAGGCCGGCAGCGCAGAGAACGCGCGTGCCAAACATTTGAGTTTGAGGTGGTCCTCACTTACCCCAGAACCGTGACGATGGCGATGGCGATGGCAATGACGATGACGATCCGATCTGTGAATCAGACGATGACGCAGCGTTCGAGGCTTGGCAACGCGTTTAGCAGTAATATTAATTTTTTGACAATATTTTGTAAACGGGGGCTAATAGACATAGACAACTACAAGTATCTGGCTCGGATATATGTATAAGCACAGGCTGACACTTATCCATAGATCGCTGTCCATTTATAGCTTTATAGCCCGGCCTTTCACCCAACGACCCAGCAAGCAGGCCGTAAACAGTTTTACGGCATTGACAACGGGCCCGAAGTATAACAAACCCAACAAACAAGAAGAAAAATTGAGCGCAATAAAATTCCCTAATTGTTTTTCATCTCTTTTTTTTTTGGCAAAGTAAACAATTGGGACTCCGTTCGGGTCTAATTGATTCACACTTTCTTTTCGGCTATAAAAGAAGATGTATTCTGGTCAAGATACGCATCGTGCTGAAGAATTTTAGGACTAGCGTGGGGTGTACGCGTGTGCAATGATTAAATCTTTACTACTCTGGCAACGCAGTGACATTAGGTTCGGTTTATATTACCAACAGTTTAATTGACGTTCTTGGTCAAAACAAAAACAATATGAGCTCACCTATGAAAAAATCATATCAAATCTGGTTCTGAACGGGTATTTTGTAAAACCTGGCATCTAATTACATCGGATCGGTATCAATGTGGCTGGGGTAACTGCACAAACTGTTTCTATTGCTGTGTCTCGGGCAAGATGATGAAGCACATCTGTCTATAATGACGTCTGCCTTGATTGGGGCACAAGCCTAGGCAGTTCCAGTCCCAGTCCCAGTCCCAGTCCCACAGATAGAGACTAAGGTCGAGCTAGACAATGAGTAGATAATGATGTTGTGCTGTCAAAACATCAACATCTCAACGTTCGGCGTTCGAGTGACGGATGGCGCGTGAGGATCACAGTCAGAGTCAGGAGCCGCACTTGTGTTGTTTGTGTTGGGGTTAGAGTTTGGGTTTGGCTTTGGGTTTTCATTCAGTCATTTACTTTGTTACCAGTAGCCAGATATCATTATTCAAAGCGCATCACGAAGATAGCTCTATTAGCCACTTGACATTCAAGCATTTAACACGTGCGACCTACTGCATCATTGAAGGATTAGCGGCATTTAATAACCGCCAAAGAGCTGCAGCAGTTGACGGGTTGCACCAACGGGAATAGAGCCTTTGATGCTTTTGTGTGCATCGGGCAAACAATGCCATTAGGCCAGGCCGTCTATTGACTTTTGGCTCCTGTGGTAGCTGCACCCACAATTCCCATGAGCTAGTGGCGCTTTGTGTACACTTGACACGTTGCTGGCGACGAGGTGCATCACACTGTGACAAATTCACAGGCAGATTGGCTCAGACCTTTGCTAGTCCAGGTCTCTAGTCTATCTTAGCATACAACTATATTTTGAAGTCAGCTTTCTATATAAGATCAACTTCCCGTGATAAAAAGGGGCGTAATCGGTACTTAGACACCCATTATTCATGTCTAGAATGTCGACTATGCATAATAAACCTGGTAAAAGCCAAGCGAGAGGCAAGCCGAAAGTGGGCGGTCAAGAAAATGTAGTCGGGACAGCTAAATAATAAACAAATTACGGATGGAAAAACAGTCGTAGGAGTTTATTAAAAATTATATTTTGTGGTAAACTTCTGCGTTTGTACATCGGTAAATGCGCCTGTTTTCCACTGAATTTAATTAGCGACCTCAACAAATTAACGGAGGTGGATGCGATCGCTTGGACGCTTCGGTGGGTTTTCTTTAGTTTTGAACTCTGTGCGACTTTCAACCGGCTGTCCGGCATTTCGTCACTCATCGCTGAACAAACGCGTATTCCGTTTTCCGCGTTTTCCGCACCAAACCCAACGGTCTACAGCTTAACTCGGGCGCTTTATCGGGCCGCACAGATCTGTCCGAGTGGCCGAGTTGAATTATTTAAATTAATAAAATATGCTAAAATGTGTTACAAGTGTGCGAGAAATATGTATATGTATGCATTCACTATGTCTAATGTAATAGATCATATAATTAAAAGAATTATGGTGGAAACAAGCGGCTGCACCATCGTAACCCCCACTACTACAACTAACAACAATTGCGACAAACAATGGCAAATAATTTTCCAAAGATGTATCTGTCGTGGTGCCAGTTTGGCTCTTTCCTTTTCCGTCCAGATGATTTAGGGTCCCAGTAAGGTCTAAGTTTTTGGAAAGTGCCTGCACGTTTCGGGTTGAGTGCAGATCTGTTGATTTGCATAATTTGAATATATTTTTGATGAATGTGACCCGACTGAAGCGAAATTACGAAAGCAAATACTAAACAATAGAAATGCGTTGGAAGCAATTCGCTTGAGCCTATTCTACAGGGGCGGGGCAAGTGTTTAAATGGCCGCACGACACCTTTTAAAAAAAGATTCCGGCTATACGCTCAATCGAAAAATGGTTGGAATTAAAAGACACTTTTCATTTTTTAAATATATGTCGTGCTTTCAAACATTTTTTTTTTTAACAAACACAGACACAATGCTCCAGTGCAGTCGAAAGCTATTACAGCAGTCAAAATACCCTTGATTAAATATCAAAATAAATATATATATGTGCTGTCTAGGCAAACTCAATCCAAGATACTGTTTGCATTTAATGTATATATGTGTATATGAAGATATTACATGTCAGTTTAGGTCCTAGGCAGCTCGTCCCTGCTCTGGCTGGCCGCAATCGTTGCTGTGTCAAGTGTGCGCAAACAAAAGAACTGGGAAAGTGCCACTAATTACAATTCCCACACACACACGCACGCCCATTCGCCCAGAGGCGCTCACATTAACATATACATCTGCTAAAGTGTTGGGGGTGTGGGGCCTGTTAACTTGTTGGCTATTGCTCTGCCTTGACTGAGGACCTGGCGCGTCCTTGTGCACAGGCTAGTCGGCAGCTGGTGGCCAAGTGGCGGGCGATGGCCAGGATGTTTGCACTAGATGCAGCTCGGACTTGGATTAGATTTGCTCATTTCTCCATATCGAATTTCACTTAGCGCAATGCATTTGACCTTTTTTTGTTCGGCACGAAATCGATTTTATTCAATTGCGGTCTCTGAGGCTATTCGGGCCTAGGCAAGACCTGTGGCTTTGTCAACCGGCCGTGACCACAGTCCACACGATGTGGATGTGTCCAAGTCCGGGCCGTGGGGCGCCCTCGATGATTTCATTTGCAGCCTGTGACCTGGCATGGGTCAGGACTACCTGTTTTCCACGGCCTATCTGCGTGTCTGTCAACACGTGTACGTCTCTCTGTGTGTTTGTGTGCTGAAAATTGAACGCCAGAGCATTTACAGGAAAAAACACGAAATCGAAAATTGAAAACAGACATTGGGACCATCTGAAAATTCACACGCACAGGAACGGGGACAGTGACAGCAGGCCCAGCCGTCGGGGACATTTGATTTTCACCTGCGCCGGTGGCCGACGTCATCACCGAATTTGGCTGTCTCCTTAAATCGAGCAGGTGGAAAGCGTCACCATGGCCAACAGTGTGGTCTGGCTAGTGAAATTACCTCGGTCAACTGTCCAACTGTTCAGCTAACTAGTTGTTCTAATGCGGCCAGTGAAGCGTCCAATTTACATGGTTGGCCCTATTAATTTATAGATGCGTCTCATAAGAAAATGTCAGGAATTTAGCTGAAAACTGTTCACAGCAGTTTCAGGTTCAGCTGCGAATTCACTTGCAAATGAAACTAATGGCAAATCACTTAGAGAAAAGCTTAAGAAAAACAATAATTTAATTGCAAAACTCGCCGAAAGTCGATGATTTTTGTCTGAAACCGAAATGCTTACTTTAAGAACTCTTTCTTATATTCGCAATTTGAAAAGCAAATCCATTTGATACTAAATCAATCCAAATACATTCGGACATTGCTCAGGCATAAGTTTTAAATGGATTTGCTGTTAATTTGATATTCTCTGGTAATTCAGAGGAATTTGGTGCTGCGTGCGGATGTCTGTTGACTGGGCTTAAATCTAGGTACAGTTTCGGTACAAGATTGATGAACTTTGAGGTTCTGAAGTATGAGGCAGGCCAAACAATTAACTCGGAAATGAAAATTGGTGGGCATGCAGTTCCCGTTTCTGCCTCATCACCGCCGATCAGGTACCCCAAAAACCTCCCCCGCGCTGATCATGGCATGAAAGCACGCAGCCGACCGGCAATTAATCTCTTTGGCGAAATGCCGCACAGAGTCCCAGTGCCCAGTGCCCAGTACCCAGTATCCAGTATCCAGTCCACAGTACGCAGCTCCATCTGCAGCTGCTGGCCGCAACGTCACACTTCAATCAGACAATAAAAATATTGAAATGAGCCAGAGACCGGAGAGGAGCAGTGTCGAGCGGCTAAATGAATGCAAAATTCGCAGAATCATTTTAAGTGAAGTTCATTTTGTGCTTCGCTTGCGCTCTTCCCAGGTAATCTGGCAAATGAATAATTGATCGACCTCTATAATTAACGGGCTCACTCAATGTACTACGTGCTTTCAAAAAAGAACAAACAAAAATAAATAAAAATTAAATAAAATTCGAGCCAAAAAGCTGTGGCAAAACTTCAGTTTTCAGGGTCACAGAATTCAAGTGCAATTTTCATTATTATTATTTTTGTTTATCCCTGCAGCTGACGGAAGTCATGAAGGCATGAATTAATTTTATGAATTCATTTGAATACTTTTGACTACTGCAATTTGT